CAGAAGCAAAAATATTTATTATCTGGACCTTTATAGAAGCGTGTGCTGACTCCTGATCCACACAGTTAGGAGAGTGACATGTGCATAATCTTGGGAGCCCCAGTCAAACATCTTCAGGACTCTGGTCAACCATGCAGGGTAGACAACCTCGTTCCATATCAGTGACCCCAGGATCTCCCACTCCTTGGTGGCTGACATTGGTGCCATTCCCCGTGCCTCAAGATTATAACTAAAAGTACAGAAACACTGCTTGTGATGCTTTGTCCATAGTTGGGTCCTACTTCCTTATAATGGATCCCCTAGAATGGGAATGACTTGGCCAAGGGAGTTCTTGGGTTTTTAGGGCCCCTGATCCCACCTGACAAACTGCTTTCTGAACTATGACCGATGACCTGCCACCCATGTGGCCCATTTTGTGACACCCACGGCCACACCGAGTATTAGCTCCTCTTCAAAACTCCGGATAATCTGAGCACAGTTTTCAAGAGATAAAACTGGAAGCTTCACAGTGGGCATCAGTACAAGAGATGGTTTTCTAGCTGCCTGGGTGACGTCTCCTTCCCTCCGGGGAGACCTTCCCTGGGCCCTAGAGACAGATGTATGCCCCCTGCTGTATCCCATCAGGTCCCTAATATGCTCCCTGGACCCTCAGGAGACACAAGGATCAGAGCAGAGTCAGGGCTTTCTGCCTCTCCTTCCCCCCTGATCTTTCACTAGGAGTCCCCGGGGAGATAAGGATTCTTTGTTGGTTTTTGAAGAGACCATGCTCTTCAACAGATGGTGTCACTGTTTTTAAGAACAGGTGGTCTTGTGGTTACGGCTGAACAAAATATACTCTTTCTAATTCCTACAGGCAAATAAACGGTTTTTTAGAAGAAATTACATTCTTCTAATTGGTTTGACTAGACTGACTACACCTCTACTGTTTTCCCCCTTTACAATTATCCAGTTGTATATCAGATGTTTTAGGAGATGGAAGAGCCTGCCAAACTCGAATTCCAGGCTGAGTGATGGGTGTCGCCTTACGGGGCCCACAGCCACCCTTAGGCTGCAAGCCACCTGAAATGCATCTGATCAGCATTTTTCCTACGGTGTAATAAAGCCCAGTGCTCCCAAGCCATGGGCTTCTGTGTGACTTTGTCTCTTTAGAGATTCCTTAGTCTACAGAGGTGAGAGTTATACCCAAACTGAAGTAATTTTAGCCTCCCTCCAATGGCTCATGACTCCCCTGTTTCTTTTTTCTTTGAAGCTAGACAGCACATATTTTGGTTTTGTCCCTTAAAAATGTGCAAATAGAATTTTACCATAAGTGCACCCATTCAGAGCAATGTACTCCCTCCCGTCAAGCAGTTAAAAAGATGTGATCTAGGGCGCCTGGGCTCAGTTGGTTAAGCGACTGCCTTCGGCTCAGGTCATGATCCTGGAGTCCCGGGATCGAGTCCCACATCAGGCTCCCTGCTCAGCAGGGAGTCTGCTTCTCCCTCTGACCCTCCTCCCTCTCATGCTCTCTCTATCTCATTCTCTCTCTCGCAAATAAATAAAATCTTAAAAAAAAAAAAAAGATGTGATCTATAGATTCACCGTCGAAACACTGACAAAACAGCCAAGTACCAGGATTGGTAAAATCTGAACATTACACTCATTTTCTATCTGTAACTGTGTACATGGAAACAAAAAGACAGGGCAATATACTCTTTTTCGCTGGGTTAATTTCTTAAGTGTAAGCATGTGAGCAAATAGGCTTTTCCATGCACGGAGTTCTGTTCAGTTTTGTCCAATTTTGGCAGACTCCCATGTTGTTAGCTTTAAGGTTGTTTGTAAGACAACTGAGCCTGCGGTGCAGTTCTTTCTGCCCACAGGTCCTGTCCCCATGCTTTAATAAAACCACCTTTTTTGGCACCAAAAAAAAAACCCAAAACAAAACAAACAAACAGAAAACCCCAAAGACTCTTGTGTTGCATTAATGCTAAGAAAGCCTCGTACCACACCAGAGGCTACAGGTTTGACGGAAAGGCCATACCATCATAGCTCATAAGTCTGATTAATTATTGTAGCGACCCAATGTTTGGAAAAGCACATTAATGCAGGACACCTGCTGCTTGCTTCTCGCAGCCTGGTACTAGTGACGTAAGAGAAATGAGAGCGTGGCTGAGGTTTTGAGTCTCCATTGCTCCAGGGACTTGTTCTAAACCTTTACCTTCCTCTTGAGCCCCCATCACGCTCCCTGCCGCTGATTCTTGAGGTACGGACTGGAAAAGAAGATGTCAACTTGGAAGCCACACAGCTTCCTCTCTGGGACGCATTCAAAGCTTCTACCTCTGCCTCCTACTTGACATTTCTGGCCCCATCTGCAGTCACATCCAGCTCATGCCCTGTGCTTTGTCCCACCCTGGTAGAGTAAAGGTTTTTTGCTTGTTGTTTGTTTCAAAACTACGAACTTGAATATGAATGTCTTGGAAGCAGACACGATTGCTCCACGCTGGTAACCCGCACCTGCTCTTATCACTGATTTAGGCTCCATGTCTAAATCCTAAGGGTGCTGGCTCGGCAATCCCTTTGCTAAATCATCTCCAGAGTTTCAAAGTAAACAAGCTAATGATACTGCTGACCACAGAGAACAGTGTCTGAGACCAGGTCAATCCTCAGCGAGTTTCTGGTGAATAAACGGATGGATGGAGGGAAGAGAGGGAAGGAGGGAGAGAGAGAAAATACAATGGGAATCAGGATGGCAAGCTTATAAATAGTTTCGCTACCGAGGAGCCCACCATATACAGACACTGTGTTTATGCTTGTCTATCGAAGTGCTAACAATTTAGAGTTTTCTTTTACTCTTGTCCACGTGGTGGCATCTCCCACACCGAAAGAAGTACAATCACACCAGGACGCCTCCTCCGCTGGAACCCAGAACGCTCAGCCCAGAGGCCACCGGCTTCATGTCATCTGCTCTTCTCCCTGCATTTCCACCCCCCACGTGACAAGGAAGAGCAAACACTCACGCCATGAGGAAGATGCCCCCGGTGTTCGAGACGCAGCCTCGTCGGGTCGGGGAGGCATTCCGGTTATAGCCGCACATGCCACAAATCAAGCCCAGGTAATAAAAAACCACCATGAGTGTCAGCAAAGAGCAGACAACCAGGCCACCCAGCCACCTGGTGAAGCAAGCACAGTGTTATTAGACACAAAAGAGGTTGATATGATAACGCAGAAGCTGTCAGGCTGGGGCTGGAGCCGTAGGGTAACACTGGGCAATCAAATATCCGATTCCCCTGTTAATGCCTCCGAGAGTGACCCTGTAGTGACAAGACCCCTTCCCATCCCTAGTCCTCCAGCCCAACCAGCAGGAGACCTTAATTTTTATCTTGGTTTTGAAGAGCTCTGTCTTGCTCATTGGTCGGGAGACTACTGCTTCCTTCCTTTGCTTCATTTCCGTGGGGCTCCTGAGCAGGGTCTACTCAAGTTCTCCAAAGCTACCGATCACCGTACCCCTTCAGACCCCTTCTTTTCCCTGGTCTTTCTCTAAAATGCTTTGGGGTTGCAGGAATAATTGGGGAGGGGGGCATTGTGTTCTTTGCTGAACCAGAAACTCTACACGGGGAGTGCACTGAATATTTTAGAATTTACCAGCATCCTAAATCAAGTGCCTGCAGAATGCAAACCTCAATTTTGTAATGGTCCTGTGAGACATTTTAGGATGATGGGTCCTCAGTTAGGTCTTACTGGCTTTCCCGGAATGTACAACAACCTTTTCCAGCAGCTGAGGGGCATTCAAGGGTAGAAATGCTTCCCAACCGCTAAAACACTAAAAAATAAAGAATTTACTTCTGCAACAAAAGCTGCCACTGAAGCTTTTCATTAAATTAAGAGCAATCTCAATAATTATAATAGCCACCTGCACCTACTCTTTGGCTTTTTGTTCCAGATACTGGGGACGCCAAATTAAACAAGCCACGGATCCTGGCCTCGGAAATCTTTCACGGTTAATGTGTGCTTCATCTGCTTGGTTAAATTTCCTTTAAAAATAAGCTTTTAGTTTCTAGGGCAGGGGGAGCCGATGTGTAGACAGATAATTGTATCATTCTTTTCATTTGTGAGACTAACCACTAATGAGATTGTAAATTCATTGAGAAAGTGTCGGTCTTATGTTTGTCCTGACACCTGCTGGGGTGACCTAGCCACACGGTAGGAAAATGGCTTACTGATTACAGGGCAATAATTGAGAGCATAGTCAGATGGGGGCTGAAAACCCACCTCGCAAACATTGCCACTGACCTTGTGAAGGTTATTCCACTCCTCTGAGCCTCAAGTTCCTCATGTATGAAACAAGGTTACAAATAGAACAGAACCCTGCAGTTTTTTGTTTCTTGGGTTTTTTTTTTTTTATTAAATGAGATGTCATGTGTACAGTGCTTTGGAGAGCAGGCCGTAACTGTTCCTGAATTGCTAGCAATTATTGTTATTATTTTATTATTTATCTTGGGTTCTTGCATAGTAAATACCTGAACAGGAATGGAAGTCTCTGGAATCTCCATGAGTTTGGGCAGTAAGAATGATTCTGAAAGTGACAGGTGGTGGGGCTGAGCCTTTCAGAGGGAGAGCACATCTTACATGTCACATGGTCCTTGAAGTAACTCAGGTCTGTAGGTCCACCACTCCCTAGCGCTCCTCCCTGAGATGTCCACTGTCGTCTCCAAAGCCAAACCCCACTGGCTAACATTTTCTAATGGGGCAATCCACAGCTGAGGACCGCACTGCTTACCTGAGCTCTCGAGCAATTTACTCATTTCAAGGATGTTCTTTCTCTAAGAACCAACCTTGATGTGTTGATTTTATAAGACAATGAAAAGAATATTATCCAAATGCCCTCCTTAATTCCTTTTAGGCTTTGAAATCCTTTTACACACATTAGATAGTTATAACGAAGATTCTAAAAGCCATTAATGACATCAAAATCGCAAATTATTGACTTCTTGGCTCAAGAACTTCCAGTCTTCAGTTTTTAAAAATATACATAATACTTCATGAATTTGCATGCCATCCTTGTGCAGGGGTCATGCTCATCTTCCTTGTATCGTTCCAATTTTACCATAGGTGCTGCTAAAGCGAGCACTCCAACTTATTAAATAAACATAAAGTAGGGTTAACACATACCAGGTTATGTGCTCTTTGTACAGTCTTCTCTCACAAGATGATCCTGGTTATCATGTCTGATTCCTACCCTGTTCCAGAGCAAGGTTCGCCCCCTAGCTTGCCGGCTCCGGGGGGTGGGGCACTCACCTGAATGAATCATACTCCTCCAATGTGGGTAAATTTCGGTGGATGTAAGTTTCAGTGTCATTAATGTAACCCATGAAATTGGACAGCTTATCCTGAATCGGAATCTGCTCGCCTATGTTTTCAATATCTGAACCAAGGGAATTCAAGGTACTTTTGATATCTGAAAACAAAGATACCCAGGTTATGCATTTTCAAACCTAAGGGAAACAGAAACTCTGTTTCAGAACCAAAATGAAAAGCTTCAACCACTTTAAGTTTTCCCCATGTTATGCGTGTGTTTTAACCATGGAAAGGTTCTACAAGCATGAATGTAGCCAAGACCATCAAAGAGCAATTACTTAACAGAACAGCAAGCTATGGGTGCTGACTTTAATGACATGGTGCTGAAGTCAAGCCAGAGTTTTCTTCTGCTGCTTATTTCACTAAAAAATAAAATGAATCTGGAAGTAAAGCCTATGGTGTGCCTACCATGGACCAGGCACTTTTATAAATGTTAACTCATTTATTCCACCGAGGTAGATATTCTTCTTCCTATTTTACTAAGTGACCCTGAGGCCCATCGAGGTTAAATTACTTGCCCAAAGATCTTTTTTTTTTCTTTTTCCAGAAAAGCACTAGAAATGGGATTAAATCCCAGGTTTGTCTACCAAAGCTTTGGTTAAATGATTTTGGAAAAATAGTTTAATAAGAAATAGCATTCAGGAACACAGTAATTCGCCAGGAACAATTTTTTTGAACAAGTGGTCCCAGGCAACATTTTTGTTAAAATTTGATTTGACTCATACAAATTGAGATGTGTTCAAGTACATCTGTGCTCTCTCCTATGCAGATAACAATGTATTCCCAGTGGTCAAAGAGTTTCTGTTAACATCCATCCTAACCTTTCAGAGAGAAGAGAAGTTCTAATTTTCTGGAAAGTGTTTGTCCATTGTGATAGGTCCTGGGATCAAAGCTATCCAGGACACAGACGTCATCTAATTTAATGCTCACACAGGTCTGAAGTTGGTGCTATCTGCAGTGATTCTTGACATGGACGTACTAACAACATGCTAATCAGTTAAACATCCACTGATCCTGAAAAGGGAGATCAATCTCTTTGCAGCCAGCAGAGAGATTCGCTGTTCTCACAATGAAATCCCAGGTGAACTTTGGGTAGATGGCAACATGAATCAAAATGGAGTGACATAAAATGGTGGGAATCTTCTTCAAAGGGTGTTGTTCACACAGAGCTCCCAGGAGGAGACTGCTGCCCACAGTGGTTCAATTCTCCTCTAAATGTACCCAGAGGCTCCAGGATCCTCAACAAGGTGACTCGGTGGGTCTCTTCTTTGACTCTGGGATTTCTGGGAGTTTGAGAGATGTGGGATGCAGACTCTCCCTCCCCTTTGAACAGTTCCCTCAACTCCGAATCAGGTTCCTTCTGCTTCTCAGGCTGTCCTGCCCTCCCACACGACACAGCTCCCTGGCCTTGACAACTTGGGTGACTCTGTACATGGCTGGTATCCTCTCTCCCCAGATACTTCCCTCAGGCCCCAGTTTGGACGTGTCTTCCTCCAAGAAGCCTTCCACTACCCTTTCCCCCCTGGATCCCTTGTGTGTGCCTTGTCATGTTGCCAGAGTGTGGAAAATGGCATCTGTGTAAGTGCTCAGCTGAAGGGCAGGCGGGGAGCACAATTTATTCATCTCCCTTCGCCGGAGCCCCGCAGAGCCTGGCACACAGTAAGCACTCAAACTAAGTGTGCGGGGTAGGACCGAATGATCAAAACATGGGAGCTAAGGGGTTTTATTTGTTTTGGAAGGACATGAAAATAAGCAACTGATATTCACGTGAATGGAGTGATTGACACTCGCCCAGACCTGGGAAAACTCTGGCTTGTGTTGAGGCAATGACCGTGCGCAATGGGCCTCGCTCACGCATACTGCACACCTCGCTTTGCCAGACTTACAAGGGAGGGCTGCACGTATTGGCAGAAGAGGTCCAGAAAGGGGGAACAAAAAGCAAAAAGTAAACACAGAAATTAGTAAGCAGGTGGCTATCGGACATACAGAGCGTGTTAGCCTTCAGATGCTAGCATAAGATGTCTTTAATCTCTTAATATTTTAAAGTAGAATCTTAGGTGAAACAAAAAGGAACACACAAAACATTTAAAGCACTGTGTAATAGGATAAAATACTTTTTTTACCCAAAGTCTTAAAGGGTTGAAAGAACACTATTAGGGGGAAAAAAAAATCAAATACCTCTAACACAACATTTTAAAACCACTTGGTCAACAGATAAAAGGAAGCAAAAAGAAGATGATTTAAAAGAAGAAGACAATCTCACCTAGCTTCTGAGATTTCTTCTTTAAGCAAATAACCCCTGTCTATTGCCATTGCTGCACAAAGAACTGTGTATACTGCACTCTTTCCCTGTGCATTCACCCTGAATACCACAACCTGAATACAACGTGATTCAATTATTTAAGACTAGGAGAATTCTCTCAATATTGGTCCTGCTCCTCCAAAAATCCTAAGCAACCCTAAGAGCCTAAGATACCATTACAGCAACATCAGAAGGCAGACGAACATCTTCCTAAAAAGACAAAATAAATCCTTATACATAGTATTCCTGGAAAAAAAAATGAATTTTAAGTTTTGTTTTGTTTTTAGGAAATATAATAATCTACAGTTTTTCCCCAGTGAAACCAATCAAAATGTGACCTTCCTAGTTCAACCACGGCTGTCTTTAGCTCTGACAGCTCAAGATGAGGCCTGGTCACTAGAGTGTGGCCCTTGACCTTGCCACCTCCGGCCAGCAGGACGATGTTAATCAGAGTTCAATAAGATTATTATTTCTTAAAATCTAAATCGCTGTGTGAAGGTGGCATAATTAAAAATCTCTGATACTCATTTAATCTTCCAGATCAGTGAGAGAATTTTAAAAGAGAAAAAAACAAAACAAAAACACTTCTTAACAATACATTTTTTTTGGTACTAATCATCCAATTTTTAACAAAGAGAGAAACAAAATGACTTCAAACTCTCTCACCTGATATGATGTCTGTGGTTTGATTTTGCACCATCTCGGGAATATCATTAAAGGATTTATAGCCCTAGAAAATAGTTCAAAGTAAATTGATACACATAGTGAGTAGAAGGGTAATTAATGAGTATTCAGTTTTCAGCTTAACGTGGAGGAGAGAAGCAAAATAAAAATTCTAACAGTCATCTTAAGGCTGAAATCATCACTATATGGTCATTAAAAGACTACCAAAAAAATTCCCCTTAAGGGAAGACTTTCCCTTTAAATTGTATCCATCCAAGACTTTGCTAAAAGTTTTTCACTTTTAAACTGTTAATTTATATTATCTATAGTAGTGTTTCTCAACTGAGGGTGGTTCTGTCCTCCAGGGGACACTTGACAATGTCTGGAGACATTTTGGTTATCATGACAATGGTGCTGTGTGAGCAGGGACCCAGGGGCTTGTAAATACCCTACAACGTCTGGGACAGCCCCACCACAGGGAATCATCAACAGTGTTGACAGTGCTGAGGCTGAGAAGCCCCAATCTGTGCAATGTTCCATGTGCAGGTAGAAAGTGAGTTACCCAAATCAGAGTCGTATTTTCCAAGGCAATTAGGAAGTAAGACTGGGGATCTAGTCTCACCGAACACACAGCTTATAGAGGACGTACATTTTAGTGACGCTGAAGTGAAAACAAAAACAGCCACTCCAAGCCATGTCATTTTGGGGCTAAATCTGGGACAAGAAGATGTCATTATTTCTAAGTAACTCAGCTGAACAGACAGCATTTCCTCGGGAAGCGGTGTATTCTGTGTTTCTTCGCTGTCTGCTGGTGTCTTTAGCTATCTGCTGGGGAACACTGTATCAGTTACAACCTGTTATGGACCAAATGTCTGGCACCCCCACCTCCTGTCCCTGGCATCATAGCCTGAAATCCTATCCCCTTACGTGAGTGACGGTAGTAGGAGGTGGGGCCTTCCGGAGGTGATTAGATCATGAGAGTGAAGCCTCATGAATGGGATCAGTGTTTTTATAAAAGGGGAACCCACACAGCTCTCTCCACCACGTGAAGATACAATGGGAAAACGGCCGTCTGCAACCTGGAAGGGTCTCTCGCCACAACTCGGTCATGCTAACCCTCTGATCTTGGACTTCCAGCTGCCAGAACTGTGAGAGATAAATTTCTCTCGTTGAGAAGCCACCCAGCCTTTGACAGGCTCTTACAGCAGTCCAATCTAGGTGACAGACTTTATAAGATTTATGGTGCCAGCAAGTTTCCAGTTTAGCCTGGTAACATCGATGCCAGGAAAAGAACAGCTACCACTTCTGTTCCCTCAACGGTGACTACGTGAACCAGCGCACAGGTCCTTGTTTGGATGAGTGTACACCTGACCCCTCTGCTTTTATCTGCCTTTGGACTTGTGGAGGTCAACTGTTGAAAGAGGTTTTATGGTCGAAGAGGCCTTATAGATCTCCTGGATCAATTCCCTCATTTAACAAATGAGGGGACACCTGTTCACAAAGACCAGGAGTTTCTAATGACTTGTTTAAGGTGACACTTAATTTTGTCAGTAGATGAGTGTTTAACAGATTATGTGAAGATGTTTTGATACCCATGCTGAAAGACAGAGTCAAGAATAACACTATTCCCTCCCTTTCCTGCAGGCCCAGGGCATACTTATTGAATCATAATCTACAAAGAAATGTTTATTGTGCACTCAACATATAGGTTGAATAAACAGCAATAATTGGTAGGCAATCAGGGAAATGATGATGTTCTAGACCAACGTAGCCCCTGCCGGTTTTAGAGTTTACATGCCAGTGAGACA